AGGCAAAAATATTAACATGAAGTGCAGCAGGAAATGTGTTAATTCCAAGAATACCATTAATTCACAAGAATATTCAGCTTAAGTGGCTACAATTTCCAGTCAGATTAGTCTTTGCAATGACTATAAACAAAGCACAAGGACAATCATTAAAAGTGATTGGTGTGAACTTGAAAAGTCCATGCTATTCTCATGGCCAGCTATAGCTGGCTTGCTCTAGAGTTAGAAGCCCTGAAAAATTATTTGTATATGCACTAGTGGGAAAAACAAAAAATATTGTATATCAAGAAGCTCTACAAAATTAACATGTTCAAATGTTTGTAAAAAACAGAAAATTAGATGTAAGAGTTGATTATGTATAAACTTTTTTAAGAAATAAAACTAAATTCAAAATTATATATAAATTTTTTTATCTTTGTTCTATTTTACTTGAGCAATGCCAAATATATAAGCTAGTATTTAATAGAACAGTCTTATTAATAGGGAACAGAATTTGCAATCTTTCTATTACTGTCTGTAATACAGTAAGAGAACAGTCTTATTAATAGGGAACAGAATTTGCAATCTTTCTATTACTGTCTATAATACAACTACACTTAACAACAAAACATAGGAAAGTATATGCATCATTTATAGACATTAAGAAAGCCTTTGACTCAGTCTATGTTCCCCTACTGGTACATAATTTGAGGGCAAAAGGTGTAGGCAAATGATTCTCAATACTAAAACTGTTTTCAAAATATAATATAAAAATTAAACAGGGAAACACCATTTCTCCATAATTAGTCTTGTCATGAGGTATACTTCAGGGTGATTCCCTTTCGCCTTATTTATTTAATTTTTATTTACTTGATATAGACCACCTTTTCCTCCAATCCAATGATGGGATTGAGGTTGCTAATAGAGATTTTCGTTACGTTCAATTTGCTGATGACTTGGTTATATTTGCACCTACTAAAATCTATTTACAAAGGAAAACAAATCAATTAAACTTATATCTCAAATTGATGCATTTAACAATAAATCCTGCTAAATATTTTGTAACAACAGTAAAATTTCACAAAAAGAATCAAAGTTTTATCTAAATAATATTCCTCTACAAACAGTTAAAGAAGTTTTTGGGAGTCACATTTGATTGGAAGGTAGTGATATGTGCTACCTTCAAAGCACATATCACTACTATTATTAACAAAGGGAAGCAGACAATTGATAATTTGTTGTTTTTATGTTCAACTTTGAAAACGTCAAATCTAAACATTCATATGAGGCTCTATAACTCAATAATTAACCCAATCATATATTATGCAAATCCAATTTGGGACATCGATTATCTGTATAAACTGGAATGTTTTCATATTTATTTTCTTTGCAAACTACTCCATTTAGAAAAGTCTATTCCTGGCTATGCCATACATCATGAAACCAACCACATATAGTCTTTTCCTTTTTTCCTTAAATGAATAATAAAATTCTACTACCATCTGAAATTCAAAAGCAACAATAACAACTTTTTTACATCAGGAAATAATCAAATAACTTTTTTTATTCAAGATTAGATCAGCTTTCGCAAACTAACTTCCAAAAAATTTTAAATTCATTTGGTGTATCTGATTTGCTATTCAAAGATAATCTGCAAGACTGGAAATATGGTTACACATTATTAATTGAATCTGAAATATCTCAGTCTATAAATAAGGATCAAACAAGTCTAAATCATAGCAAATATCATCCCTGGTATATAAATTTACTACATATTCCATCTTCACAGCCATATATGACTAAATCAATTAATTTCAACATAAAAAGATTAATAGCTCAATTATGTCTTAATAAATATTCTATTTTCATCAATAACAACTATATTAATTTAAATTTTCAAATACTCAATGCATTTGGTGTAATTCTGAGAGCCTCTCAATGTGTCATCTATTACAGAACTGTCAAGGTTTAGCAAGTTTGCAAGATTCACTTGATATTAAACAGATATTCCATTGCAGTTCACTCCTTGAATTTAAAACAAACATACATAATGTCAATAAAAAAGTCTTATATAAACTATATAACTATTTCATGAAGATTACAGAAATGTTAATAAACTAAGTCAACAGTTTCATTGTTTATTATCATTTTATAAATGTTAACTATTTCTGTATTGTCATCTTTGACGTTACTGATTATGATTATTTGGAATATGTTTATTTGAAATCAGTTGTCAAATATATATATGAAAATAAATTCTTGTTGGTTTGTAACTTTATACAATCTTTATTCTTAAACTGGTCTGGAGCAAAGTTTGTATGAGTATTACTTAGACTCTAGAATCAACATTAAGCTATTTAAGGAGATGGACAAGAGAGCAAGACATTATCAAGTTGGCACAGCACATACCCCGGCTCTTAAGGTATATAAGACCATTGAATCCATTTTGGAGATAGATCAGGAAGTAATATACCCAGTGGAGTTTTTAAATTCCTTGGACTTGATCTAAAGGTTGGAGGTTTTATTAAATTTGGATCCACCAAAGTTATGCAATGGGACAAGAATGATTGTTAAAAAAGTTATGCTGAATGTCATTAAGGCAAAAATATTAACATGAAGTGCAGCAGGAAATGTGTTAATTCCAAGAATACCATTAATTCACAAGAATATACCGTTTCAGTTTAAGTGGCTACAATTTCCAGTCAGATTAGTCTTTGCAATGACTATAAACAAAGCACAAGGACAATCATTAAAAGTGATTGGTGTGAACTTGAAAAGTCCATGCTATTCTCATGGCCAGCTATAGCTGGCTTGCTCTAGAGTTAGAAGCCCTGAAAAATTATTTGTATATGCACTAGTGGGAAAAACAAAAAATATTGTATATCAAGAAGCTCTACAAAATTAACATGTTCAAATGTTTGTAAAAAACAGAAAATTAGATGTAAGAGTTGATTATGTATAAACTTTTTTAAGAAATAAAACTAAATTCAAAATTATATATAAATTTTTTTATCTTTGTTCTATTTTACTTGAGCAATGCCAAATATATAAGCTAGTATTTAATAAAACAGTCTTATTAATAGGGAACAGAATTTGCAATCTTTCTATTACTGTCTGTAATACAGTAAGAGAACAGTCTTATTAATAGGGAACAGAATTTGCAATCTTTCTATTACTGTCTATAATACAACTACACTTAACAACAAAACATAGGAAAGTATATGCATCATTTATAGACATTAAGAAAGCCTTTGACTCAGTCTATGTTCCCCTACTGGTACATAATTTGAGGGCAAAAGGTGTAGGCAAACGATTCTCAATACTAAAACTGTTTTCAAAATATAATATAAAAATTAAACAGGGAAACACCATTTCTCCATAATTAGTCTTGTCATGAGGTATACTTCAGGGTGATTCCCTTTCGCCTTATTTATTTAATTTTTATTTACTTGATATAGACCACCTTTTCCTCCAATCCAATGATGGGATTGAGGTTGCTAATAGAGATTTTCGTTACGTTCAATTTGCTGATGACTTGGTTATATTTGCACCTACTAAAATCTATTTACAAAGGAAAACAAATCAATTAAACTTATATCTCAAATTGATGCATTTAACAATAAATCCTGCTAAATATTTTGTAACAACAGTAAAATTTCACAAAAAGAATCAAAGTTTTATCTAAATAATATTCCTCTACAAATAGTTAAAGAAGTTTTTGGGAGTCACATTTGATTGGAAGGTAGTGATATGTGCTACCTTCAAAGCACATATCACTACTATTATTAACAAAGGGAAGCAGACAATTGATAATTTGTTGTTTTTATGTTCAACTTTGAAAACGTCAAATCTAAACATTCATATGAGGCTCTATAACTCAATAATTAACCCAATCATATATTATGCAAATCCAATTTGGGACATCGATTATCTGTATAAACTGGAATGTTTTCATATTTATTTTCTTTGCAAACTACTCCATTTAGAAAAGTCTATTCCTGGCTATGCCATACATCATGAAACCAACCACATATAGTCTTTTCCTTTTTTCCTTAAATGAATAATAAAATTCTACTACCATCTGAAATTCAAAAGCAACAATAACAACTTTTTTACATCAGGAAATAATCAAATAACTTTTTATTCAAGATTAGATCAGCTTTCGCAAACTAACTTCCAAAAAATTTTAAATTCATTTGGTGTATCTGATTTGCTATTCAAAGATAATCTGCAAGACTGGAAATATGGTTACACATTATTAATTGAATCTGAAATATCTCAGTCTATAAATAAGGATCAAACAAGTCTAAATCATAGCAAATATCATCCCTGGTATATAAATTTACTACATATTCCATCTTCACAGCCATATATGACTAAATCAATTAATTTCAACATAAAAAGATTAATAGCTCAATTATGTCTTAATAAATATTCTATTTTCATCAATAACAACTATATTAATTTAAATTTTCAAATACTCAATGCATTTGGTGTAATTCTGAGAGCCTCTCAATGTGTCATCTATTACAGAACTGTCAAGGTTTAGCAAGTTTGCAAGATTCACTTGATATTAAACAGATATTCCATTGCAGTTCACTCCTTGAATTTAAAACAAACATACATAATGTCAATAAAAAAGTCTTATATAAACTATATAACTATTTCATGAAGATTACAGAAATGTTAATAAACTAAGTCAACAGTTTCATTGTTTATTATCATTTTATAAATGTTAACTATTTCTGTATTGTCATCTTTGACGTTACTGATTATGATTATTTGGAATATGTTTATTTGAAATCAGTTGTCAAATAAGTATGTAAATTTAATAATTTGGAAACTGTTCCAACTTTTTCTGTAATCCTTTCTTTAACAAATTTATCACCCTCTGTAACAGTGAAATCTCCCTTTTTGTTAATAAATGATTGATTGATTGATAAAACTATCTTATTAATTAGTTCAAGTAGTTTTAATTAAGACTTTAAAAAATACAGCAACATAAATAAATAATTAAATATTACCTTTATCAATGACTGTTATAATACTGTTTTTCTTAGTAGTTCCAGTGTTACTGGATATAATGCATGTATAAACAACTGATGATTTTGCTGAATGAACTAACAATCTAGTTCCTACTGGATATAAATCTTCAATAAGTTCTGTTTGAAGAGATGGATTTAATACTTTTCCATTCTTAAGCCAAGTGTATCCAAATTTGCCATAAGTTTCAGGAATACAAGTAATTATGAAACTTTGTCCTTGATAAATTGTTGCAGTTAAAGGTTCTAATAAAAACAAAGGAGCTGATATAACATTCACTTGCAAACTTTTATTGTGTGTATTATCCCAATCTGATACTTGGCAGGTAAAAACACCTAAAAAAATATATGATTCATAAGAGTTTTTATATTATTAATTTTTATTAAATATTTGGTATTCGTTTTGCACATAGAATGTGTCATTACATGTGTGAAACCAATAAAAGCATCACAGTAAGTTGTATACTATGTTTTATTAATTTAAACTATATGTCTACATACAACAAAATATAACAATATTGAAATATAGTTGGTAAATTCAATTGCTATTTTCAATAAAAAATATTAGCATTAAAATATTTTTTCTGTAAATAAAAAGCATTCATCTACTTACATCTATAAAATAAAAATGTGATTGCTGAGTCTTATATATTTATATGTTAAATTCCAACAGTGGCGTACCGTCAGTGTTAGCCGCCAGGGGCGGAAGAAAATTTTGGTCCCCCTTATTTAGGTATTTCAATTTAAAAGACCAAAATTTGGTTTTGTCACAGAACAAGCAATGAAAAATTTGGCGGTAGTGCAGCGACCTGTTTAAAATAGTTCTTAATAGTTCTGTTTAAAATAGTTGGATAATAGTGGTGTATATGAACGTGAATGAATCGTACAAGCAAAAAAAAAAGTCAACAGGTTTTGCAGGATTTCCTCAGATGAAATACTTACTAGTTCACCAGACGGCGAGCCGATTCCCGGACTGTCTGGATGATAGCACTATTGTAGGCGCAATGCAAGTATAGATTAGGATGTTTCAAATTTTTACAAGATATTATTATTATTTATTGTGAAATTTTGCCACCCCTGCCACTCCCACTACAATATGCCACTGAATTTCAATAAAAGCAAAAGTTTTTTTAATTACATAAATTATTCTTATAACCATTTTATTAAATGAATAAATCTTTGGAGCTTTGAAGTCAACAGTGAATTTACTTACTATCAGGGCTGTGGAGTCGGAGTCGGAGTCATGGAGTTTTGGTATTTTAGCCGGAGTCGGAGTTGGAGTCGTCAAAAAATCTGCCGACTCCGACTCCCTTTTACTTCCCAACTTGTAATGTATATAAAACGGAAAAGTATTGGAATCGTGTCAAATTTGACCATCCAAGTTTCTTTTGCAAATCTACATGTTTGGAGACCTCCCGAACCCCTAAAAAAAGTCAATAAAAGGAAAAAAATTTGCGCAAGTGTGTGTACTGGTGTCTAATTTGTTTAATTTCTTTATTTTCTGTTCTGAGATATTAAACAATATCTCAGAATGGGTTAAAGTTTAAGAAACGAAATGTGGCACTGTAGCTCGCGTATAAAGGGGCATTAATACTATTAAATTTTGGTTCTTAATTAAAGGTGTGTCATATCTCTTAATGAATATTTTACTCGTTATTAGCGTTCAAAATTAAAAAAATAATAATAATAATAAAATAAAACTTGTCTCTACCCTCAAAGTAAACTTTTTTGTCATTTTATAATAGTATAGTAAAACCCGTTAAGATGTTCTTGCCTAAGATGCTAGAATGTATATGGGGACATGATTTAGTTCAACCACTTTGACGCTTAATAACTAACTCTTGTGTTAAACCATCCGACTCTGATTCTGACCACTCTGACCACAGAAATTATTAGGCTTCAAACAGGGTGAACAAAATCATGCCCCCCACACACAGTCTAACATCCACACATATACAAAAGATTCGAGGTTTTTGCTATATCTCAAAATTTCAAAGTGTCCTGAGTCCAAAAATGTAAAAATTTGGGAAGGGTCATTTTTTTGACCGAGCGCTACACTTTCTCTCTGTTTTATATAACAGCCGTAGAAGTAAAAATTATTGAATACATATTTATATATTACTTAGAGGAATCTTATAGCTTTGGAATAAAAAGTTTCTACGTTCTATTTTTATTAGAACTCTATTTATTGAATCTTTTATTCTGAGGTCACATGATGTCATCAGAATTTCCGGGTCTCTTTCAGTGACAAGTCCGCTCCTGGTCGGAGTCAGATGGTAAGGAAAAGTCTGAGTCGTTAGATTTTTACGCGACTCCACAGCCTTGCTTACTATACATTATTAAGATTTTTCAAAAATATTAATAAAATGAATGTAGGCCTAATGCTGGGTTTTAAAGATTATTGTTAAGTATTTATTTATCTATAGATCCAACGTTATTTGAATTGTTTTACTAAATAATTAAAATTCTCATTTGTAATACTGTAAATCATTATCATGGACATTAAGAGCTTGTATTGATCTGGAGTAGAGTGGGTTCCTTTTAACTTTTAGCAGACCATTTTTACCATTTCCCCCCCCCTTCTTTTTGAACAAATAAAGAAACATTCTATGTATTTCATTAATAAAAAGAAATTTTAAAGACTATCTTTTGTTAGTAAAAGTAAATTAATTTATAGAGATTGGAACCACAAGGGCTACTAGATTGGGGAAAAATCCTCAGCTTCCTCCTCTCATTGGCCCTGATCATCATCACTGTTTGTTAATGATTTTGGCAAAAAGTTGTTTAAAATTATTAAAATGTAATAAATTATGCTAGTAAAGTTAAAAATTATCTCGTACAAAAGCTTTTAATTTGATTACAACCTTATTTCAGATAAAGATTTAAAAAAAACAATTTGAAAATGAAATATATCAATGTAAATTTACTCAGTTTTGAAATTTTAAATATTAAATTTAATAATATATAAAGTAATATAACTTAATATATTTATTAAGTTTGCATTTTTTAATTAGATGTAAAGTATCAAGTCTATACTTTGCATCATAACCTGTCTTAAATGCTTGGAAAATCAAACATATTTAAATAAAATTACTGATATATTTCTGTTATAGCAATAGAAAAATATATTATAGTAATGATTATGCCTCATTATATTTTCATAATGAAAATTTTAATAATTTGATTGCCATTTATTTTTTCAGTTTCATTATGAATTCCTATATTCATAATCATTATCTTGCCATTTACAATAGAATTATTTTTCATTAACTTAATATTTTCATAGTATATAGAAGTGATTCTTAAACTCCCAGGAGGTATTCACAAGATATTTGTCAGGAATCTGCAGGTCCATTTTCTAAAAACACTTTTATTACTTAGCAAATATTTTAAAATAATATTTAAATCTATATTATTAAGCCTTAAATAACATAATGATTTATATAATAATATAGATAATGTGATAAATTTGTATATTATATATCTTAAAATATTATATCTTAATGACTATTTGAAAAATAAAGTTGGTTCATTTTATTAAATTTAATAATTTATTAAATTATTTTAACAAAACATTTCAAATTAATGCAGTCAAAAATCCATCAAACAATAATATAAGATACCTGAGATACTTATTTATTTTATTGTAATTTATTAATTAATGACTAAAAGCTAAAAATATGGANTCATTTTATTAAATTTAATAATTTATTAAATTATTTTAACAAAACATTTCAAATTAATGCAGTCAAAAATCCATCAAACAATAATATAAGATACCTGAGATACTTATTTATTTTATTGTAATTTATTAATTAATGACTAAAAGCTAAAAATATGGATCTGTCAAAATATAACTGCAACCTTTCAAAGTTTTGGAACCACTAGTATTGTAGTGATTAAAAAGATAGAGAAGCTAAGTTTATCCTCTGTAAACTTATTCTGGAATAGCAGCAGCAGCCACTATATTGACTAATACAGATCAGTCTTATAGGTAAAGCAGAAAAAAGAAAGCAGAGAGAATGATAATCTTCTGTCTGGAGAATGAAATTTTTTCTTATAAATAAAATAAGAAAACTGATGCAAGTTGTACTGTACATTTTATAAACTTATTGAAAAATTGATCAGATAGTGAATTATTCTTTTTTGGTAGAAAAGTTTAATATAACTAATTGATTTTACATTTCTTTGCTTTAAAAAAACCCCTTCCATTACTACTTGGAATACAACTATGTATAGATGAACAAGTATTATTCATTTCCATAAACCTTTCAAGGTTTATACTTTATGCCATAAAATCCATATTTGTAAATATTGTATAAAGTTATATTGTGTCAGTCAGTATATCTATTCTATATAAATAATAAATTACTGTTATAATATTTTAAATTATTTGTTGTATGCATGTTATTAATTTCATTTTTAATACTGTAAAACTACTAAATATAAATCAAACAAATAACAAATATTTATTCTTTTTTACCTCTTTGTCCTTACTTTTTACATTTCTGTGTATATATTATCTATTTGGACTGTTTATTAATAGGACTTATTATACTGGTGAAGTTTCTGATTAGCAAAGAGAGGAAATCTTAGTCAAAAGTCAAAATAAAGATATTTTGTTTTGACTAAAGATTTCCTCTCTTTGCTAATCAGAAACCAGTATAATAAATACTATTAATAAACAAAGTCCAAGTAGACAATATACACAGACACAAATATTTAATTAACTTTTTAAATTCATGTTTACAGTTTTATACACAATTAAATGTGATTGTAATTGAAATTATATTTGCTCTAAACATATAATTATGTAAAATATTTATTGAAAATACTTGTAGATATTCTTTCAATGAGTATCAAAATCCATATTTACTTGTTATTAAGATTGAAGTTAATTCACAAATAATGTGACATTCTATTCAGATATAATCATACAAGGAGTAAAGCTACTCACTGTTTTAGATGTTTTTTTATTGCCATCAGTTTATCAGAAATGTGTTTTGGACCAAGCTGAAATGCATTTTTGACAAACTGATGGCAATAAAAAAACATCTAAAACAGCGAGTAGTTTTACTCCTTGTGTGATTATATCTGAATAGAATGTCATTATTTATGAATTAACTTCAATCGTAATAATTTGTTGATATCTTTATACAGTCGACCTCCCTATAACACTGTTGATTATTCCGTTTTATATGAATTCCATGTTGTACAAGTCAGTTAGATTTTACAAATACATGAGCCGTTCACAGCCTGGCATACGTATTTGTAAAATCTAAGTGACTCGTACAACATGGAATTCATATAAAACGGAATAATTAACAGTGTTATAGGGGGGGTCGACTGTATATGCAGAGCTCTATTTACATAACAAATAAAAATGTTTGTAAAGCTCTTAATTATAACAATAAAATAAGGATATAGTGATATGGCAAAATTGAGAGTTTAACTTGCATACAAGAGATATGTACTATTAAATTTTTCAACAAATTTTTTTAATGAAATTATTTTAAACTTCTTACCTGAATCTAATATATTTGTTCTGTCAAATCCTAATAAAGCAGTATATTGATCCCTTGAATTTTTTGGCACTTGAGATGTCCATATAGTACGATATGGTGTATGAACATTAATTGGAGCACCATCTTTGAACCATTTGAAAGACATGGAAGCAGATCCTTGTGCAATGCAAGCTAAGCTAAATTCAGTTCCTTCAACAATTGGCATTTTTTCAGAAGTTTCTATTCCTTGAATACTAAGAGCTATAATTTAAAAAAGTCTTCAGTTTTATTTTCTTAACAGTATAATAATTGCATCATTATCTCAATGAATTACCTGGTTCCCATTTTAATATTAGATATGTGCGATTAACACGATATTTATCAATTTTTCCAGTTTTCAATGCCTCCTCTAGAACAACTTTAGCTTGTTGGTTATCATCTTTCTCACCCAAAAAATGAAAATGTACAATGGGACTAGGTCTATAATAATGTTAGATTTATCAATAATTGCATAATTTAGAAATCTTCAATATTTGTAAGCAAAATATGAGAATACTTACTCAAAACTTGTGACTGTCAAATTGTCAACTTGATAGAGTCGTGGTTTTAGAAGTGCATTTAGCTATTATAAAATACAAATATACTATTATATTAGTTAATAACATACTGAAAATTTTTTTAATATTGTAAAAACAATCTTAAGGTAAAATAAGAAGTAAGAATTTTAAAATATTATTTATATAAAATCAATAGTATCCTCACAAACATGATAAAAAAATAAGAATTTATTTTTTATGCTTTATTTTAAAAAGTATTTTAAAAATTATAACTAGGATATTAGTGATTAGATTTAACCATATTTCATAGTTATGAAGATAAGATAGTAAAAAATATTTCTCTTCTTAAAAATTATAATGGAATAAACAAAAGATAACATTTATGTTAACAAGATTCAACAATAATAATAATAATAAATTACACAAATTTATTATTATTATTATTATCTAACATATGTTTCATTTTAAGGTAAATAAAATAAAATTGTAATAGTTAAAATAAATAATCATTAATAACTTCATAAACATATAGAAATTTTTTAGAAAATTGTATGTTTCCATAGTACTATCAAGGTCTTGAACAAGAAGGGTTTTGGGATTTTAACCTCCTATTTGAGAAGAATAAAACATGAAATAAAATTAAAACTAAAGCATATACTATATATAATTTATATTTATTTTATACTTGTACAGTTCCTACTTTGTTTACTGTATTGTGTTACTCTATATACCTACATTATAAAAATTAATAAAGTATGTTATGAAAAAATGACGTTTTTAAAACACTGCTCTTTTAAAATCCATTGTATAAGTCTGTACTGTACATTACATTTTAGATAAAACCAGAATTATCTACTTCTATATTTGAAATTGAAATTATATTCCTATTAATGCAAATAAGTATATAATTATCTCTATTTATAAGTTTAAATTTTTAAACTCTGCTTTTTTTTTCTTTCTGTGCATTAATGCTAGCTAACTAAGAATATTTATTCTATAATTATGAAATTAAAATCTAGTAGATTGATTTTTAGAACATAAGGCATTAAAGATTGTAAAAACATTGATATAAATAATTACTAAATATGTTTTTCTAGTTTAAAAATAATATTTATTTATTTTTGTTTATGGTAATTTTAATGCACACATTTTTCAATAATTCCTAAATTTTCATTAATTAAGACAGCAGAAATTTATTTACTGTAATTTATTTTTTTTATATATACAGTACATTAAGTATCTAAAATAAAATCTTCAAAACTTCAATTTTATGGGAAATGGTTTTTACTTTATAAAGTTAATATTTATGCAAGTACTTTATCTTTTAGGGTGGAAAATTGTTTTACTTGTTGCCCATTGATTTTTTTTAGATATAAAATTTATGAAAAATATATTGTAGATATTTAAATTATAAACTGGTGTCACTATAATTATTTTGAATGCAGCAAATTCTTAATTTCAACAATTTCCATAAAATTGATCTTAGAAATTATTATTGCTTAAGACTGATATCTGTTTAGATAAGAGGTGACAATCTTTTTCCCTTTCATAATCCCTAAACTTAGATTTCAGTCATATGTAATTGCTTGAATTTTGATTCTTTAACTGTAAATATCTCATGAATCCTTGAATATCTATGATTCTATGACTCCCTTAGGATGCTGATGCTGGATTGTGCAGATCTAGTTTAAGGGTTGAGAAATTGTTTTCTATTATTCATTCTGTTGTTGCTAATATCAGACTATGGTTAATGTACAAGTTTGCTTAATTGTATCATTAATCTTTAGCTTGGTATTCTTAACATAATATTTTGATTACTATAAGATATTCTATAAATGTTAAATTTTAGCAATAATAGATTTATGCCATTATCATCAAAAGTTTCCAAAAATTGAATACATTACATTATTGCTTCTTATAAATTTATGGATAAAATAATATTAAATTTGCAGTCTTTAATTTTTAATAGTATGGAGAATACTTACTGCATTTTCAACTCCTTTTTTCAGTTGCTTATAGCGCACACTATCTAAATGAGCTAAATCCACATTTTGTTCATACATTTTAATGCTCACAAAATATCTTGTTTTTCCTATAATTTTGAAAAATTAATATTTTTATTTAAATCATATAATTATAAATATATAAAAATGACACAAAAATAATATATGATAATATGTGTCATTTAATATATAAAAATATATTAAATGACATATTAATTAATGCAGCATATATCTAATATGATAAAATTTGATTTTGTTCATTAACTAGCCATAATATTTTTTGAAATTTGAAATTAAACATAGATATTTTTTTAATGTTCTACAGAATATGCTGTCTTTTAAGTTTGGTTTTAAATAATAAAAAATTTTATTACATCCATACAACATGGTATATTAAAATTATCTTGTTATATTATATTGACATAAGAATAATTTTAGCTATTTTATTTTAGAGTTATATAACCAATAATATATTGAATGAAATAGCATTTCATAATTCAATGATATCAATGCTATTATAAATAAAAATTTTTAAAAGTTTATTATAGCTTAAAAAAAGTTGTAGATTCAATTTTATACATGAATGAAAAACAGAATTTAAAAACTAATAATAGATAGTTTATATTCAAAAATAGAAGTAACTTTGATAATAAAGACAAACATAGTAAAAAATAAACTTTAAATCTTCTAATAAAAACAACAATAAAACCAAGTGACTTTCTTGAAAAATTTTTTAATTATTATTTTCTGAAAGAATTTATAATTGAAAAATTAAACAATAATTTGTAGCAAATAAATATTAAAAGCTATTATAAAACAATTGCTGAAATATTAATAGTGACCACAATCCATAAAAAAAGTATAATCTCAAAAAATATTTATATAATGTTGGAGGAAAGAAAATATATATATATTATTTGAAGGAATGGATAAATTATTTACAATAATGATATAATTATTTTAGATAAATCTAGAGGATTGTAGATCAAATAGAAATGCTATTAATGTTTTATTTTCAAAGTTAACAGACAAGATACAACTTAATTTCAAGTGAATAAATTTTTTAATGAAAATAAAAAATTTGATTTTGAAAATATGAAAATAATTTAATAGAAGCAAAACTTATACTAGCATTTATTAAGTGGAAGCAGTTTATAATAATTTATAGAGATTATTTTCAACTAGAATTTAAATATAATAATAACAATTCCAAAAACTTTTATTAGTAAAATGAAGAATTAAAAACTTTTTATTCAAAAAATATTTTAAAATATTTAGAGCCTGCCTGAAAATAAATTTAAATTCAACTGAAATAAATATATTCAAAATAAATTTTTAATATTATTTAAATAAAATCTATTTTTTTCTTTTTTTTATATGAAGCAATTATATATAAAAATTTAATAAACAATAGCAAACTTTAATATTAAAAATAATATAGTTTTTGTAAACTTATCTGCATTTTCTGCAATTCTGTAAATTCATTTTCATATTAGAAAATTTATTCTGTTTTTTTTTTAATAATAAATTTTATTTGTATCTGTAAAGTTATTAATTTAATAGAAGTTAGAAAATTTCTAACTTTAAAATAATTACAGTACTTAAGAAAATTACTTCTTTTATTTTTTTCTTTAATGAAATGTATTATCTGAAGTATGTTTTCTTAAAAACAATATATATATCATAACATATGAAAATAATGTTTTAAATTTCTTTTCAACTGTGCATTATCAACAGAATTTCTGCTGACATTTCTAAGCTGTCAGCTACATCTGTTAGCATGTGACAGATGGAATACAATGAGAAGATTTCAGAAATAAAAAGAGGTACAAAACTAATTTAAGTTTAAAAAAATAAAATCTGAAATACAATGTGATATTAAGTGAAGAAAACAATTTTTTTATAATAAATTTTAAAAAAATTATTAATCAAATTTTTGTTTATGGTCAACCCAAATTGTGAATTTAAAATTACTGTACATTTTAATTTTTCGTTAATCTGTATATTCTTTAATTAGATATGTGTTTGTTTTAATTGTTATTTTAATATTAGATAATTAAGTTGTTCAATACTGTATTTAATTATATAATATTACTTATGGTATATAATTAATTTAATGTTTTAAAAACTTATTTAAAATATAACATATATATTTTAAAGAATAACATATTTAACTAGAATAGTAATGTAAAAATGATGTTATATTTTTTGCTGTTGAATCAAAATGTTGGGCCAGTCGTACTGTATCGTACACAAATTAGAAACAATTAGGCTACTTTTCTTACTTTCATATTTTAAATTTATTAAACTTAAAATATTTATTTTTTACAAAATAAGAAAATGTAAATTAGTTATCATGAATTCATGGATTACATTGTTAATATTTTGCAGTGTTTGCAGCGCGCTACGCAATATAATCGCGAATACTGCAACATGACAGGAAAAAAAACAATCGCTATACAACTGTTTCAGGCCAAAAAAATATATGAAAATAACAAATTTTTACCTTCTTGGGTGCATGTTTTTCCATCATCTAAAAGATAATAACCTCCAGGACAAGTGCATATTATTTCTTTATTTTCTTTTACAGTACACGACTGAGAGCAACCATAGTTCGCACATTCATCTGAAAATAAAGGTTTTAAAAATATTTATTAATTAGATAACATTTTATTAAATGAATAAATACCAAATATAGTTTTTTTTTTTTTAATTTCAACGAAAATTGGTTGAAAAATTATTCTTAATTTAATAAAACTTTCTCATGTTAATGATACGCTGGGCAATGTGCGACGCACAGATCATACTGATTCTTTTAAATATTTTTAATGATTACAAGCATTGTATAAAAGAGATATCCGAAGCAAGCAAATGCTTAGGAAGAAATATCATTAAATCATCTAACAAAAGATTATATAAGAGGTAACATATCAAAGGAAGTGAAATGTAAAGTTTGCGATACTAAAAATCAATACAGCACAGTGAAGGAGACTTCAAATAAAATTAAAAACGTCAACTTCTAGTCGATAAAAATTCGAGATAAATTTATAGCTGCATTCATTCGAATAATGGTACTGTTAGATTATCCAGCTCACCTCAATATGTAGATTGAATTACTAGATGATTATGATAATTATTTTTTTATAATAAAAATTTCTCTCAGCAAAATGATACTTCGAAAGACCGTTACATAGCCACATCTTAAAAAAAAAAAAAAGGGAAAAAAGAATAATCAACCAAAAAAAAAATATTTGAATATTTAATCTATATTTATTGCTTCGGAAGTATATTTGAGTTTTATTTTTAATTAGCTTTGTTTTTTATTTTATATAGGTAAAAGTTGAATGACTTTGATGGGTTTACAGAGCCCACAGCATTTTACTATTTTATGTTGCGCTAGAGAGGTAGCTTTAAAAAAATAAAAAAGAGAGAAAACTTCAGAAAATACTCTGAAGTTTTTGGATAGAAAGTGGCATCTAAATTTATATTCGCCACAACTTTTTATTGTGTTTATGTAAAGAAACGTCTTCGATGATAATATATAGTTTGATTTTTCTGATCATTAATGAAAACAGTAGGGGGAAACCTATAATACTGCATTTGCAGTCATTTATATGCTTTTTTTTCTAGAATTTCAGAAATTTATTCTAGTCAATGACAGTTTACTTGAATTTTCTGCAATTGAATTCTCTGTAACAATACTTTCTTGAAATAGAAACGAAAATGATTAATAACGATCTGGAAATAAAGTTTTATTGATTAACAGTTTTTGTATTTCCCGTTTCCCAATTTTTTCATGAATAATAGTAATGCCAAAGCTTAGTAAATGAATGCTTATTTTTAAAATAAATTAGTATTATTTTTTTTTGGTATCGTAATTAATTTTGTTTTGTTTGATTTCCTTAAATGCAAGATCGAACTTTAAATAAGAAACTTTGCTTTCTTATTTTCTGTCACTGTAACAAACTATAGGTGAGATCGGGGCAAGATCGGCATGTTAAGCTTTACTTAAATTTTGTGTAATAAATACTGCTGTAAACTGAAAAAAAAAGTTTGCATATTGTCTATTGGAATGTTACCTTACTATAGAACTGGTTAAAATCAGTTTGGAAATAAAAATAATTAAAATAATTACAACTTTACAAGAAGAGAGAAATTGACGAAGTTGCCCCGGGTATAGGGGCAAGATCGGCAACTTCTCTCTTTTTGTAAAGTTGTAATTATTTTAATTATTTTTATTAAAGTTGCCCCTGGTATAGGGGCAACAGTAATGGGGCAAGATAGGCACGTATATAAAATTATGTTATTAACAATGTATAAGTTGGAATTCACTATTAAAACAAAGAAATACAAATCCAACACCCATTTAATATTATTACAACGAAATGCAAGTTCAAAGACATATATACATGAATAACAAATGCAAACATGTTTTCATTTATCATCTGTTTGATTTTTATCCTTTGCTTCTAATGTGGCTTTATGTTGCCGATCTTACCCCGCTAGTCATGATTTCGAAACATTAAGTACAACCCTGAGAACAGAATGCCAAGCCACGATCTGGCCACGTGAATAAGTTGAAGTTACATCCTTCTAACAGGAAAAGTAACTTTCGTTATCATGGAATTATAACAAAACCTGCCAATTCAATATAAATGGAAAAAAAATATTATATGGAATTGAACGAAAATGAAAATTTGCTTGATAATTCAACTACGCTTGTTGGAGAACAATAAAAACACTACACTCAACAAGCCACCAATAAAACTCAACTGCCTAACCTATAACAAAAGTCTCCTTTTAATTTGTTTTTTAAAAAAAAGCGCTTGACAAACTTGCCCCGCTTGCCGAAGTTGCCCCGATCTCCCCTAATATTACTATTAGTGGAAATATAATTTTTTTGTTCAAATTTATTCGAAATTCTTGATTATTTTTTGTAAAAAATTAAAATTGTAGCTGTTTTGATTCAATCATTTTCTAAAATAAGCTTTTGATTTCGTTATAATGTTTTGCAATACTAAAACAAAATGACTAATCTTTAAATTTATTTTCATTGGATCAATTTAATTTCATAAAACGTATTTCTCTCTCGAGAAAATTATTTAAGAATCAGAATTTTTATTCAAATCTAGTTAGATCTCTCATTATATAGGCCTACTAACATGAAGATACCAAATATCCATTTATTTTGATACATAATTTTATATATTGGTTATTGATAATAATCAGCCTGTGATATTAAAACTAACTCATTATATATAGACAAACCAATAGACAAACTATTCATCATTTTGCTATTATTATTTAAAAAAACAACAAATAATAAAATTTGAATACAAGATTTTTTTTGTTCTTTTATAAATGTAAATATAATTAAAATTTTACAGAAAATAAATTATTTTACAAATTATAGAGACTTACAGTGGCTTTATGTAAATATAAAATATCAATACTTTCACCGGCTTATCAAATTTAATTCATTCTCTAAATAAACAAAGTACAGTTTAATATGTAGCGCTATTAAATTTTATAACAATACAGAAATAAAGTTAAAATGTAAAATATTTCAGATGTAGCTGATATAAATTTTCTATCTGCATTCTGTATAGACTTATAGAAAGATTGATTATATTCTTTCATAAGCTATTAAAGAGCAAAAGCGAAAGCACTCATAAAGAATTGACTGTTGCCAGATAAACAAGAGTAAACCATTCTAATTTTAGATTGGATTTCTAATATATTTACTCTATTTAAATCTTTTAAACCATAGTTAGCGTATAAATTTACATGCAAACTTAAAGACAGACAGAAAATTACCGAGCTATAAAATGGTTAAACACTTATGCATGTTTAAGAATATTACACGGTTTAACTATTCTCTACACGTTAAATATATATAAAGTGTTACAATTAATTAATATTATATAACTATGTTTAATAGTTAAGAACATTCGAACATGTTTAAGAACGTAATTAAATATTTAATTTGGAATTTAAAAGCTGTTTTCGCCTTTACTCCAGGGATGATTAAGGACAAGTTTTAAAAACAAAGAAAAAATTGTAGAAAACAAGAATAATCATATTTTATAGCAAATAAAAAAAATATTAATATAAAAATCTATCGTTATAAATTTATTTATTATATCTTTGAAACTGGCAAAACAAGTGAAAGTTTTGCTAGTTTCAGTCCCATCATTGAAGGTCTCATAGCCGTCAAGCAAATAAAGACAATTCTCTTAACTGTAGTATGTTGATCTATGTAATTAATTCAAGTAATTTAATTTAGATGAATTAATTATTGATCTTTATCTAATAATATAAATTACATTCTCCTCAACAGCGACTGGGAATTCTGTGAATAGATGTGATTCACATGGAATAACAATTTTTTAGAAGCACTTCTAACCATTTGCATTCAAACTTGTTTCCATTTTCGTGCAATTTTTTTTACTACTATGAATTCTGCGATATTTTTCGACAATTTGGAATATACATATATATATATATATGTTTATTAAAATAACTCAAGATATTTTAATTTCTGAAATACAGTCTCTTAACAACAGCCACTAACGGGGACATAAAAAAATGGCTATTATTCGTGGGGTGGCTGTTGTTTGGAAGTTATTTTATAGGTATTTTTGTTTAAAATATATTAAAAAGATTTCTGAAAAATTGCCACTGTTTAGAAGTGACCGGTATTGGATGTTTATGTGTTATTTGAATGATACATTTTTGTAATAAGTGTTAACTTTATAAATTTATTTACTATCAGTCGTAATAATTTAGATTGTTTTTATTATATATAAATATCTTTTTGTGTCCTACATGAAATTCTATGGCATTTATTATTAAATAATGTAATGACAAATAGTTGGAACTTAATTAACTTAATATAATATCTCTATAAATGTTATCATGTATGGTCTCCCATATACTGTAAATACTGTATTATGGTGTATCTAGTTGTATTTTATGTATAAATTGTTCCTGAATATCTCTTATTAAAATTATTATATTTTATAGCGTATTAATTCAGAATTTATTATATTTTATTTTAAAAAATGAAACATCAAATAGAGTAATGTTCAGCTTATAATTAATTAGTGTTTGTTACGTGTTTAGGACGTATGCATGAACGAAATTAACATAGTATAACAATAATTTTACCAATAAGTAAAAAAAATACTTTTATTTTTCATCTACAATTGCCTAATTTAGCAATGTCGATTTTTAATTGTTTTATTTTAAATAAACATTGAAACCGTAGATAATAACGTATAATAAAAGTAAATGTATATAGCCTATATAAAAACATAAAAATATATTTGTAGCAAATTAAATAAAATCCTGAGAATAATTAAAACATATCTAAAAGATTTTTAAGATTTTTTCCGTAAAAATTTAATTAATAAAACTCTATAGACAACTTCTACATTTTCTCATTAAAAAAAGTCGACATAAAATTTTCAATACTATAAAAAACAGTTATATGGTATTATTGAGCTACGTGGATTGTTTAAAAATCAAATAAACTAGATAAGTTTAGACATAAATTTACAATAAATTTCTCTGTAAATTAAACTTATAGAATTTTATAACATTTAAATGATATTTTACGATTTCGTTTGTACGAATACCGGAATATACTAAAATTTTAATGTTTGTTATAAAAATTAGTTTTTCTCTCTCGTGTTTAGATAAAATAGTTTAAAATACTTTTAAAATATTAAAAAGAAATTTTTAAATAATACTTTTATTACATTCATTCTCAACAAGAGTCATGAATAAAGTCGAGTTGCGAAGTTATGCGTTTCGCACTGAAGAATACAAAACACGAATATGTTTATAATTCTGAAATTTATAGTACAATATACAGTTTGTTACAATTTTCGGATGTGAAATAGAAAGTATGCTTCATTAATTCTTTCACAAAAATTTTTATTTTCTTTACAGTTCGGAATTTGAAAAATGGGATATGAATATTTATGATTTAACGGGGGAAATTGGCTTGGACCACCATAAGACACTTATAATTCAAATGCGTCACGTTCACCTCAATATAGTAAAACTCTAATAACTTCCGTTTCCGGTTTTGGATCGTTTCGAAATCGTTAAGTGTCTTTGCGGGAAAATAATGGAATTTTTGCCACGCTAATCACATATATATCATATTAAACCCTTTTAGATAACACAGTAAATGATAAAAAAATTATAGCGCCTAAACAGACGAACAAACAGATGAACAATAAAGTTTTATCATCATAAAATTAATTAATTTATATTCAGGATATTTTAAAACATTTTAATTAAATATAAACAATAATTTGTTATCAGAATAAAATTTTCTATACATTTATGCAACAAAAAAATATTTGAATATTAACAAGTTTATTGGAAATTTACCTAATGAATATAACCATTTCCATTGTTTTATTTTAAAAAAAATTACCAAAAATAAGCATTTTTCTATCTCTTACTAAATACAAACTAAACATCATCATAATTAATTTCGAGTAGTAATTTTTTTACGCTTACCAAGATCCATTTCTGTTTTAATTTCACACGTCGCACCTTTGTAACCGGGTAAGCATTCACAAACCTGAGCGGTGGAACCGATATAAAATCTGCAATTAAAAAATATATATGTATTAAAATAATAATTTCTCAAGTTTGAAGTTTAAAACAAATATAATATATTTTTTCATCATTTACAATAATTTAATACCATTAGTTTCAACGCTACCATTATTTATAAATTAGAAATAATTATTTTTTAATAAAAACCTTACTTTTACCTAGTGTAAGTAACATTAATATATTATTACTGATGGTCAGTGAGGTGTATTTTTTTTCATTATCAATTTCCTATTTATTCCCTGGAGTTTCCAGTTCAAAGCTGTAATTTCCTTTTTTGTGCAAAGTCCATTTAGCAGCGACTTTTTCAAAACTAATTTTATAAACTATTTCTACTTCACATCTGACATTTATTTCCTCCAAGCCTTACATGACTTATCCATTTATTAATTTTTTGTGTGTTCCAGTGTTGTTGTTTATTTTACATATTACTTTAGTTAATCATTTATGTTATATATTGAAACATTAAGATGTCAGCAAAGACCCTATATTACACTTATACGTTCTTTGTTAAGAAAAGGATGTAAAAACTCACAAGCAACCATATAAAACCAACCTCTCAATAATATAGTTTTAAAGGAAGAAAGAAATAACCCAAAAGCAGTTTCATGTTAAAATAATATCTAATTTATCTTTCATTTTTTATAATTTAAATACATATTTATAGAAAATTTAATGACATTTCATTTAGTTTCGTCTATCAATATTTATATTTATATATGAAATTATGTTAAAATAAGTGAAAAATATTTTTATATAATAGGTAGAGAGGTATTTCCTTCTCTAAAGGCCTATCTATTGGTAAAGAAGAAAACAGTACATTTATTTTTTTTAAACAGCCTACACTTTTATGTCAAATTGACGTCATTATCGCACTTATTTTAAAAAATTCAGCAATGAGTTGCTTAACTTTCCGGCAATATTTTGTGGCGCCATCTGTTATCCTATTTTATTTTTAAAAACTTATATTTTTAACTATTATAAAATGGCAAAAAAAAAAAAAAAAAAAAAAAAAGCTTAATTTCGGTACGGATAGGTTTCATAAAAAATTGTAAATGCTAAAAACAAGTAAAATCGTCATTAAGTCTGATCCTATTGGAGATACACATTACTCCCTTCATCTCCCCACCCCAACGATCTTTAATCACCAAAATTTAATAGCATTAATTCCCCTAATAAACAAACCTACTTGCAAAATTTCAGAAAGTTTCGACAAAAATCACAGGAGTTATTAAGCTTCAAAGAGGGTAAACAAAATCGTGCTACCCACACACCTACGTACGCATACGCTAACATCCATACATACAGAAATAACTAAAGTTTTTACATTTCTCGACGTTTCAAGACTCCCTGAGTCCAAAAATGTAAAAATCTTGGGGAGAGTCATTTTTTTGAACGGTCGCCATACTTTCCCTCTGTTATATATAACAGCTGGGAAAATAAAAATTGTAGAATTGGCGTCAAATTAATATAATAGTGTGCTGAATACTGTTACAAAACAAATGTACTGTACCTTATATATTATGTATTTGTTTATTTAATAATAAATTATGTTAATTTATGTTTATTTATTCATAGAATAGGTTGATTAATTTAATTCAGTTGCCAGAACTAGAATTATATTTTCGTAATAAATTTTACTAATGATTAAAATAAACAATTCATATAATAATTTTAGCAAGAACTAGTCTAAATATTTTAAATTTAAAGTTAATTAAAGAGCTAAATTAAATTTATAATTATTTTAATTACATTAATTAATCTAAACTTTGAATATGTTTTGAACTTTAAATAAATTGAACTAATGTANTCATTAAGTCTGATCCTATTGGAGATACACATTACTCCCTTCATCTCCCCACCCCAACGATCTTTAATCACCAAAATTTAATAGCATTAATTCCCCTAATAAACAAACCTACTTGCAAAATTTCAGAAAGTTTCGACAAAAATCACAGGAGTTATTAAGCTTCAAAGAGGGTAAACAAAATCGTGCTACCCACACACCTACGTACGCATACGCTAACATCCATACATACAGAAATAACTAAAGTTTTTACATTTCTCGACGTTTCAAGGCTCCCTGAGTCCAAAAATGTAAAAATCTTGGGGAGAGTCATTTTTTTGAACGGTCGCCATACTTTCCCTCTGTTATATATAACAGCTGGGAAAATAAAAATTGTAGAATTGGCGTCAAATTAATATAATAGTGTGCTGAATACTGTTACAAAACAAATGTACTGTACCTTATATATTATGTATTTGTTTATTTAATAATAAATTATGTTAATTTATGTTTATTTATTCATAGAATAGGTTGATTAATTTAATTCAGTTGCCAGAACTAGAATTATATTTTCGTAATAAATTTTACTAATGATTAAAATAAACAATTCATATAATAATTTTAGCAAGAACTAGTCTAAATATTTTAAATTTAAAGTTAATTAAAGAGCTAAATTAAATTTATAATTATTTTAATTACATTAATTAATCTAAACTTTGAATATGTTTTGAACTTTAAATAAATTGAACTAAAGTATTTTTGATTGTGTTAGTAATTAATTTTGTTAAACATAAATTTATATTTTAAAGAAAAAACACAGATACATATTTAATAAGAAATATCAATATATAATTATTTATATATTATTAAAAATTAATTAACAAATGAAAAAAAAACGTATTTTACAAATTTTGAATTAATGTTGTTTTAATGAGTTACAACTAGGAATAACAACTTTTTATAGGAAATAAAATAAAATGAAAAGTATTATTTAATAAATTTGTTTAATTAAATGAATAAAAATATAAAATAAACTTTTCTAGAAAGGAAATTAATAAATAATTTTAAAGAAAATTGTTATTGGTATTTTTTTGTTTTTTTCTCTCGTGTAGAAATTATTCATCATCAGTGAATTTATATATCTCTGCTTTACCTTGTCCATTTGAATAATATTATTATTTTAATGGTCATTCTATTCATGTTCCCGAAAATGGTCAAATTATGGATGAGAACTGGAATAGTTTCCATTGGTTCTCCGTTTAAATTAGATTTTACAAGATTGCTTGCTGCTAAGAGAGTTAGCAGAATTCGTTGGTAGAACTCAGTATGTTTTCTCATCTTAAATAAAAAAATTATATATATATATATATATGGAAATTATTACTTGTTATCATAAATTCCCTTTGAATTATAGATTGTGAAAACTTAAAATGGTTTTACGTTAAAATATTATTTTTATTTAGTTAGTATTTTACATTTTAAACATTTATTCATAAGAAAGTTAAAATTATTATTTTATTTACAATTTTCTTTACATTAATAAATAAAATTTTTAACCACATTTTATTAAATAAAAATTTGAGAAAATACATGTTGCGATATATAAATTTATTTATTATACATTATACACAGTATATTATGAATTTATTATAACAATTTACAAATAAATTATGTTAATTAGCATAATTTATTCGTAGAATGAATGATATAATTCAATTCAGAAGCATGAAATGTAATAATATAATGTGATTTACATGTCACAACTTATTGAATTTTACATTTAGATAAACAAATGTAATTATAAGTTCTTCATAAAATTTTCAGTTTAATGCACTTAAATATACTATAAGATCTTTAAGAGCATTAAAACCAAAACATATTTCGTTTGTATTTAAAATTAAAATACGTCGTTATGATCTAAAATTATTTAATGCTATTTGTAGTCAGTTATAAAAGGAGATAAGTCTCTCTCCTCTTGTGAAAGGCTTGCCTTTATTACAATAAATATTATTATTATTATTATTACTTAAATATATTTATTTTTTTCCAAGTTTTGAAGATAGAATGGTTAGAATTTAAAATATGATATAAGATAGAAAAAAATGAATCATATGATTAGAAAAATCGTATGAGAAAATAAAGTTTTACTAAATTTTTATAATGATTTTACTTTATCTACCAATAAATTGTGCTAATTAACATAATTTATTCATGACATAAAGTAGTTTAATTAAATTCAGGAATGTAAAAATGAAATAATTTTTGTTGCGGTTTTCTTTTATTACTAATAAAAGAAAAAACTTTAATATTTTACAGCAACTTCTATTAAACCAATTGAAATTTAAACTTATCAAAAATTGCTCGAGAATATAAAAATTTCATGAAATAATATTACACTTGAACCTTCATTAACGGCCACCTTTCAACAACCGCCACTTATTTTTTAAGTTCAGTGAATGGTCGTTGTTAAGAGGTCTGACTACATTTATAAAAAGGATAAATTTATAAGCTTTTATTAATTAAAGTTATTTAATAAATAATAAACTTAACTATAATTAAAATATTATTATAAATAATTTTATAATAATTTGTACTTAAAATTTTATTTTATACATTTTTAAGAGAAAAAAATAAATATATTTCACTCAATAAATAACAGAAAAGAAAAAACATTTATTTTGAATTTATTTCCTTCTTTATTAATTGAAATTGTTTAAGAAATAATTTTATATAAGCTGTGCAATATATTGGGAGAGACGCTATGCTATATCTATTGTATATCTAAAACGAAAAATTACACGCTGAAGGCTCTATCAATTATCAAAAGACTAACAGTAATCTGTGACAGTAACATTCAATAAATCAAAGATCAGTGCTTGAAGAAAGAAAGGAAATAAACGATAACCTAGACTTTGTTCGTATGTTTGCAATAAACGCATGCAAGCATCACAGGGTACTTTACACGATCTGCTGGAGAACAAAAGGTTAAGAGACAACATAGCACGATAACGTTAAAAGCCTCTACTGAGCCGAAAAGATAGCATTTGTCTGTGCTTTTCGTTTAAAATCCTTTCGTGTCACAACGACTAGTAACAGATCTTGTTGAAAAGCAAGAAACTAGATAGTAAATATCTGAAACTGATCACTACGATACTTGCCATAACTCTTTGCTTGTCCATGGCGGTTGTTTATCTTGTAACATTTATTGTTAACCATCTTTT